TGCACTCCATCTTCCTTTCACAATAAACATTTTCTTCATGCACCGTAGTTTCTAGCTTTATTCACTTCAGTGAGTGCATTATGTTAATGTTTGTGATAGGAACACTACCAACAAAAACAATGTTTCTAGCAGTATTATTCGCATGGCCCCCCTGCAATTCTGCATTTTTTTTTGTATGCAAAACGTGAAGTTTGTAATTTTCTCTTGTGTATTTATATTGAAACTAATTTGTTTTCCCCACAAATTAATTTTAGTGTCTTTTATCATAAAAACATTCGTTTGATAACATTTTGCACAAATATTGTGCAGCATAAAAAAAAATTGAAACGAGCATTTTTTTTTTAATTATTCAGCAGGGCTTCTATAATTGTTTTGGGGGGTTTTAGGCTGTTTTCTAGCCAAACATTCAGATTATATCATGCAGGCGAAGGAATTGTTCTGGATGGCAAGTGGTTAAATCAGACAGAATAATCAGTGATGTGAAGCAGAATGCCTATGGTAATAAACATTTAGGCACATTGGTTCCATTTATTTATTTATTTATTTTATCCCTACGGTAACTCCCTTCCTTACATAATTGTTTTATGTAAGGAAGGGATGTAAGGGGTGTTTTTTATGTGAGGAAGACGTATTTTGTTTTGGAGGGCTCCTGATGAAAAGCTATAGCGGCACAATTTTTACTTATTAAATCAGTCCAGCTCACTGTAGCTATTCCGAAAATGGCTGCGAAAGTTAAGCAGTCATGCAGATAAGATTATTGATCTTTGGTGGTGGAATCTTCCCTGAAACAAGCAGGAATATTTTATAGGAACTGATGGACTTCACAGGGTCTGACTTGATGAACTTACTCAGGTGTCATACTGGGTAAGAATATTAACCCCTAAAGGTAGAAATGCATGAAAGTCGGGAGAAAGGGAATCGGGTGGAAATGTAATGATCACATCCGTCAGATATATAGATAATGATGTTTGTATGGAGAGAGGACTTTTTTTAGGTTGGTATATACTATTGTTTTGTTCTTCATGAGCCAGGCTTTGAAGATATTTTGACATGTTTGTGTATAGTAAGATGGTATGCCATTAGTAAACCTTGGAGAAGGGCATAATGTAAAATACAATTTCCAGAAGTGTTGGCATGTACAAATATTCAGAGTCCTAAAATGTACAATGAGTCAGAACTGGGCAAACAGTAACTTTTTTCATGCAAATAATATACAAAACCAGTACGGTGAAGTGTCATAAGCCAAATGGTTCAGTATAATAAGAAAACATTTATTACAACCATCATTCAAAACAAGTCTGTCCTGTAAATCAGGGTCACAATAGTTATAGAGCAGATTTAGGCTTTTGCAAGCAAAGTAGGGGTTGTTTTTAAATTCTGAAACCATCAGCAGCCCTGGGTTATCACAGGTGATAAGGTAACTGTACCAAGACTGGTCTGTGCCTGAACACTGCAGAGGATCATTACACATGGATGCACTGAAGTGAGTGGATTTTCCTTTACAATGTAACATTAATCCAGATACAGTATTTGGAGGAAATATGTTACTTTGTGCAGTTGGTTAATTGTTGCAGGTCCAGATCTCTCTATGACAACTTTGCAGAAAGCTCCATGGAGTTAGGCAATGCTCTGTGTCTGAACACTACAGATTGTAATTAGGCATGGCTGCACCCAAGCTAAATTTTGTATAACATTGTAACAATAATCTGGACACTAATAAAGCATCATCCTTGCTACTATCTCTCTAGTAGTGGACACTATTTGGTGATAGAGCCCCTTGAAACAAAATAAAAAAATCTGCCTAGATAGGGGAACTCTCTGAACTGCTCTGCCTGCAAATATTCAAAATGGCTGCATTCACAATGGATTTATTTTGTATTACTTGTCGGCATTAGTGTGGACACTGTCATCCATTACTGTTAGAGTAACTTTTTGTATATTCATCAGTCCGCTGCTGATCAGTGTTTATTTTGGCTTGCATTTCTAAAGTTTCAGACCGATCCTAATGAAATTACATGAAGGCATAATTGAAAGGTGAAAAGAATGACTTCTACCTTAGAGGCTCAGCATGGAAATGATGTATTTGTAACATATTGTTTCCATATGCGGCATCAAATTATCTTTAAAATGTTCTGCTAGAATTAGGAGAAATACATTCCTCATTAAATATTTATTTCTATCCATTACTCCAAATAAATAATAATTACTATGTAAAAATTGATTATGACATTTATTTAATGATGACCTCGGTGATTATCTACAAGGAGTCCTAATGGGGCGTATTTGTAGACTTTGTTTCTGTTTTCATCCACAGTCTGCAACTTTGATGGACTGACAAAATACATTTCAGTCCCCATCCAATATAGCTGTGAAAGTTTATTGACTTTACATATAAAACAACTATGTCCAGAAATTGATGAATAACACCCTAAATAATGTCATCATCAAAGTACAAGAACCCATTAATACTGTCTTTGCTTTGAGAATAATAATAATCAGGAGCACACAATGGGCATTTTACTTACAGGAAACAACTTACATGTGCCCCTTAGACAATACAGCTCTTTCTGTGCTGATGGCAGCTTAACTTTAGCATTCTCTAGTAC